GCTCTGGCGCGAGACTGTCAGGTCCTGGGTTCGAATCTCGCGAGTGCGTGATCGTGCATGCGCGCTGCTTAGGAGTCCCACAATTGGACAAAACGGCCGTCTAGTGCTTCCAGGTTTTCGATAGTGGTCTTGCTTCAATTGAATCATGATTTCAACTTTTTTAAGAAATTTCATTTGGATATTATATCATCCATTTAATTAATATTTCAACAAAAAACTTGTTTTCTTTCTTTTTTCGGTTATTTTTTTATCGTTTCTAAACTTTTCTCTCTTTCACTCCTTCTCTTTTCCTTTCTCTCTCCAATCTTACTCACACAGACAAATACTTTACTTACGCCTGTTTCTCCCAATGTAGCATAGGCCGCCGACCATCATTGTCACACACACACACTCTATTTTGTTTTATCATAATCAATCATAAAATGGAGAAAAAAACGAATTCCATTTTTCAATTTTAAAAGTTTATTAAATAACAAAAAAAGAAAAAAAGAAGGAGGGAAAAACAAACAAAAAAGATAGAACCATTGACAATTAAACTAGTGAAATGTTTATATTTTCATGATTAAAACAACCGTCCTCTTTATAACGAGGATGAAAACATTCGAAATAGACTATCATTTAGATGATATTGTAAAGATTGAATAATTTCATAAGGATAGTTGGCGAGACTATAGTTTATGGACGAGCAAATCAGAAGCGTTTTTGAGGGATTTCAAGGTTACGGCGCCAATTTCAGTACCTGATGCTCATATATGATCGGTTCAGAAAGAATTTTGAAGAAGACTTGACAATTAAGCTGTTGCAACAAATGAGACTACTAAGAAGTTCGTGTATTTGTAATTGCGGGTCTTAAATAACTCGTAGACCTTGTGAAGACTATTGTGATGTCCTTCGATGTAATATATGTTGAAGGAAGACGTTTGCTAGAATAGGAACATTTATCACTCGATCAAGATTGAGACTAAGACATATTATAATGAATGCCGTGAACTGTATAATAAAAGCACCAATAACATTGACTGAAGCTTTGGCTGTTCAACAGGTATGAGTATTGTAGGGACATAACCATAATAAAAATGATAAACTTACACAACCGTAGTACACACAAACAATAATAAAGCTATGTAGTCGAGGATGAGAGGGTTTTTAAGACCTTATCATGGCTACAGTGACCAATTATTGTGGAGCCATATGGATGAGTTCCTATACCTTTGAACCTTTATCTAACTTTGACAAGTTTTTGGACCATATAAAAGATGTGTATCAACTTTAATTATTTGTTTTTGTATAATATATTTGTACTCTATGCTGACTGTTTACTGATTGGCTAACATTTGTCAAGGTCACTTAGGATTCGTTCAAAGGTCGTCCATAAATTGTATACTCGTCGGATAATTTTATATCATGTTACCCTTCATTGAGGAGTATAAACCATCCACCAATATTCTCCATCCAACTCTGTCCTTCACAATCATTTACACTTGTTTACAGTTGATATTCATCCTCTTCATATCTCTTCCCAATTCCTGACGTAGCGTGTTCTTCGGTGTTCCTCTTTGCTGTTTCATTTCACGATTACAAGTTAGCAGTTGCCTTGTGATGCAGTTTGATGATTTCCTTAATATGTGTCCTATCCACATGCAATATCTTTTCCTAATTTTCTCCTCATCTAGAAGCAGGTGTGTTCTCTCCCGCAGTAGACTGTTGTTGATAGTATAATCATTATGAGCCATGAAGAACTTCCATAGATTATTTAATGTAATGTAATGCACAACTTATCAACAATGAATACTGACAATTCCTTCAGCGATCGTATTCATGATCCCTCACTGACTTGATATCTAATCGTTCTATTTTTAACTTGATGGATGGTTGGATCATGTGTTGAATTAAAAAACAACCCAGAATAGGTGACTAATTTCATCGAGATATTCGATTTATGATTGCATCTCAAAACAGTCAGTCTTAAACTTATCATGATGTGTTTAAACCAAGAAAAACATGAAGTTTTTCACAGCACGTTTTGTTCCACTCCAAAACGTGTCAGCTAGATATGCATGTACCCAAGTGTTGACATTTACACTGAAGTCTGAACCAATTTAATGGTTATCTTAGTTCAGTAGTCTAATGAATAACGCTATGATGTTTTGTGTAATAATCAGGATACAAATTCAAATACATCCAATTAACTGAGTTCCTACTATAATGAAATGTGCATTCTAGATTTCAATATTGTCTACTAACCCAAATGCTATTAGGGTGATATTCATAGGGGATATGAGAATATTAACTAAATGATTGATCAAACTAAAAGATTGATCAAACGCTGTTTCCAATACAAACAAAACGAAAATAGAAATCAACAACAGACTTCTGTGGGAGAGAACACACCTGCTTCTAGATGAAGAGAAAATTAGGAAAAGATTTTGCATGTGGATAGGACACACATTAAGGAAATCATCAAACTGCATCACAAGGCAAGTGTTAACTTGGAATCGTGAAAGGAAACGAAAAAGAGGAGGACAAGTGTAATTGATTTTTAAGACAGAGTTGGATGGAGAGTGCTAATGGGCGGCCTATGCTCCTCGAATAGCGGTAACAGACAAACTTAATTAAGTTACAAATAACAATGACTAATCAAACAGACATAACATAACTTTCATTAGTACTGTTAATTATCCTATTATTATTATTATTATTATTATTATTATTATTTTTATGAGCTTTATTCAATATTATATTTTTGGTCCAATATTGAATTCTCAATGTACTTCAACAAATTTCCGTTTCTTACTTCTTCGTCCTTCCTGACGATAAATATTGAGTGATCGCCAGTTAGAGTGTTAGCAGCCCGGTCAATCGACATCCGGATAATGTACATTCTTCTCGCTGCATATTGCCAGCAACCACGATATCTCTGATTAGGCCTTCTGTAACCTTTACAGCGAAAGGTCTTACACTTTTCAGAAACGCACCTGAATAAGTTGTGCGATTAATAGGCATAATGATGTATTTAAAACAAACGAAATTAGATAACTTGTTGAAATATCTAGAAGATAGGAATAGGTAGCCCAGAGGTTTAAACAGGCCACCAATTAAAGATATCGAATATATTGTACAGTGAGGGATTGTAATACAAATTTAATGATAACTGTTATATTCCATATGTTTTTATACATAGTAATATGCAATATTGGTTGTCATCCAGTTCATGGAACTTCTTCAAGACCATGAGATTGCGAGTAAGTTGATTATTTTGTTTCATGGATCATTGAGTGGTGCCTAATTTCATATTTATCTAATCTTTTCTGATCATGTTCGAATCCCATTGATCAAGTCTCATTTCGAATTAGTTTTATCATTGAAACTGTTTTCTATGTGAATCATAAATGTTTACAAATCATTAAAAGAAAAACGAAATTATAATAGTAATTTGATAGTTGAGTCCATGAGTTCGAATATGTCTGTTGTGAGGCAGTTACCCACTAAAGACAATCGTAGATGGTGGCGCAATATCATGGATTGATTAAAGTTAGACATTAACACTATTCGATACCGACTCAGTGGTCTAGAGGTTAGGCATTAGCGCATGAATCTGATGGATCCTGTGTTCGAGCCCCTCATGGTATGGATCGTGGATCTACACTTCTGAGGAGTCACACACTAGAATGAAACAACCGTTTAGTGCTTCTAAGTTTTCCATGGTAGTATAGCTTTAATCGATTCATGAATTCAACGACTAAATGAATTTTTAATTATCCTCGATAGTAACAAGAAACAATCAGTGTATACATAAAGCTTTTTGAGAACTCTATGTTGGAGTCTATAACATCTCGATTTTTGATTTTCTTCAAATTCATTAGGGTTGGTATTACAAACAACTACCATAAATCGGACATTCAATGTATAGCCTGAATGATCCGAGTTTGAAACTCACAAGGTTCATCTGTTCAATTATGGTTGTAGATTACCCCCTAATCTAATGATATCAATATAATAAGCCCATATGACCATTATTATGATTCGATCAAAGACTTTATTAACATTACACAGTTGACAATGTCAAATAAGGGAAAATTTATCCTAAAATTTCTATGATGTATCAAATTTGTATAATAAATCAACACAAGCACTGAACTAGAAAGGATAAGATAGATTATTGAATAAATGATTGTCTTTTGTTTTAACATATACAAATAAGATGTGTAGTGAATCGTAAAATCTTTATTTGAAATTTCATAGATCATCCGGCAAAACTCACATCAACCATCAAATTCATGTACACACTGCTAAGGAGTTGTGAATATATTGAATGCCTATTGAGTTTCATATATTATTTATTTAATGTCAGTTTATAGGTAGTTCTATTCTAACTAGGGAGAATCGCTACATGACTGAAATGACCTGAAAGCCAAAATAATTTGTCAAATGTCATTTACCTACTTATGAGTAGTTAAAGTGGTAATTATAAAAAAGGTACTTTGATTTGGTGAATAAGTGAGAGATCGTTGAAATTGCACTTAGTTAAAAGCGATTGATATATACTCTATAGTCATTCAGTATCGCATTTTCTAGGTTAAAAGACTTGTTTAAACAAACAATGAACAATTGAGGTGGATAACTGCTAGTAGTTTTTCTTTACGAACATACGCATATCCGATTATATATATAGATGGTGAGAAAAAACTCCATTGATAGACTTCATTACTGTATTAATAATCCGTTTTCTACGAAAAGTATTCAAGTTGTCATCATATTTGAGGTAGCTAACCTACTAAACAAAGTAAATCAACTGAAAACTGTATCATCCTTTTAGTTAACGAAAATATTAATTTTTCCTAGTTAGAGTTCTTTTCAGAGAGTTTCTTTTCTAGGGGATGGGGTCGTTAACCTCATTTCCAACTCTCCTCCTTTATTCGGTCTTAGAACTGGAAGTAGCCCCCAGAGGGTATGCAGGCGGATTCTTACGAAAATATTAACAAATTGCTTTTTCTCCGATAATGAATATAGAATTGGCACTATGTACAACTGTTCCATGTAAACGTGGTCGTTGTATATCAACAGATAACATCACTTATGAATGTGAATGTCAACCAGGATGGCGTGGTCATAATTGTGAAGAGAGTAAGTTCAGTGGTTAAAAGTTATTTGATTTAATACTTTAGTTGTTAACACTTAGAGTGAAGAATATAGGGTTCAGATAACGATGTGGACACCAACTCTGGGATATATAAAGTACATCCAGCTGTCGAATTGTAAATAAGACGACATGTACGTCATGGATTCCACTGTTAGCCACATACTGTCTATTCTGCATCAACGTGTCTGACATGTCTTAAACAATATGTTTCAGTAAACTTAATTGACCTGTATGAAAACTTAAATGCTTGTTATCTAGTTATCCGGTCAGGTTCAATCAAAACTTCATTCACCACCTCATAGTAGAAACAATCGGCAACGAGGTAGTGAGAAAACTAAGATTGCTTAAGAAGCTTTAATGTCAGAACTGAATAGAGAGTTTACATCAATCACGGATACATGGATGCATAATGAATGATCCAGACAGAGGTATGTAGGCCATGAACAATTCACATATTCATAATACTATTCGTTTCTAATCTGACAAATAGTCTAAAGTCAGTGTAGTGCCGCGATTCGTTAATCGTTTTCTTCGATAACCGTTATAATTCTATTCTTAACGGTGCGTAAAATCAGAAGACAAAGGATAGCAGCGACTACAGTTTATTGTCAAATAACTCAGGTCAGAAAGCTAACAACACCTGAGCGAATATGATCGAGCGAGTGAGCGGCAAGCGAGAGAGCGAGTGGACAGGCGAATAAGCGAAGGAAACGAACGAGGAGCAAACGAGCGAGCGAGTAGCAAGTAATTACACAGGCAATTTATAGTCACATTTAATGAGGGCACAACAAAGCAAAACAAAGGCTGATAATAGTATTTGCGTGCGTACATATATGTGGAGGAGTATGAGTCATCGAATGATGCCATCTTCCACAGAAAACACTTTTGTAAAATATGCGGACGACCTCACTGTATGTATGCCAATTTCTACCTCCTTACATCCTATAGAAATGAATGAGTTTTTGTCTCGTATTGAAAGGTGGTCTGTTGGTAATGGTCTCTTGCTCAATCCATCTAAATGTCAAGCTGTTAATTTTAGCTTGAGACATGGACAGAACCTATACTCTATGTTGGGATCCCATAATGCTTGTGCCATTGGAGACTCCTTAATAAACACAGTGTCGAGGGTCAAATATCTTGGTGTTACTTTTTCCTCTGATCTTTCTTGGTCTTCTCATGTTTTACTATTATCGAAAAAAGTTTACCGCTTGACATACTACATAAAGAGGCTGCATGCTTTTGGGATTACTCGCCATTTACTCTTACAATTTGTAAATTCCTGCATATTACCTATTATTTTATATTGTTCTCCATTATTCTTTCCTGGGCTTTTGAGAAAAGACTTTGCTATTTTGCGTAGAATGCTGAAGGCGGTTTGCAAGGTATGTGGTGAATCTTTTGAAGTCATTGTTAATATGCTTGTGGATAGACATCTTAAGTGTTGCAAACTCTTGGCAGGTGTTATCTTATCAGATACTAACCATCCGCTTCATTCATATCTTTCTCCTTGTATATCTTCTGGTAGAACGAGACGTAAATACATTAAAATCCATGCACGCAAGCAAATCTATAAAAGTTCTGTAATACCTTACTTAGCAAATTTACTTTGTGACGAACAGGCTGTTAGAGTTGACCTAGTAAATAACCTGTCTTCTTAAGCATGTCTCAAATTCGATAATTTGTATAAAGTCGGTTTTTCCTAGACCTTTTTTTTTTTTTTTTTTTTTTTGTTTTGTTTTGTTTGTTTTTTCGGGTTTCCTTTTTTGGTAAAAAACTTGTTGAAATAACTCGTGCTGAGAATTCTATATTGTACCAGATTATAATATTGAATAAAGCCATTAATAATAATAATAATAATAATAATTTAAGTAGTCAACATTTCGGATAGAGCGTCATGTGCTCTAATGGTATAGCAGTGCAAAGAATATGCAAATTGTTACTATCCAAATAACGATGTCTGTTAAGTAAGTTAATAAAAAGGGCTTAACCAAAATTGGCTAGAATCGAAATTGATTGTTGGATGGTTGCTATATAACTCCCCACTGCAAACAAAGATATATGAAAAAATGTCTGTGTTTGCATAAAGTACAGTAAATTGAATAGCGTAGTTACAATCATTTGAAGATATGGGCCTGTATAATATTAGTATGAAGTTAATGTGTATTTAGTTCGTGCCCGTCCGTTAGGCTATACAAAATAGCGTTAAGATATAGAAGGAATATGGTATCGCTTCGAAAAAAAATTACACGTATGAGCATAAGGGTGTACATAAGCTGTGCCAAGTCTAATAGCGTATAAGTTTTATAATCTATATGTATACAATGAAGAGGAAGAATTTTAATTAATATTCGAAAAAGCAGAAAATCGTCAGTAAAAGACTGTAGCGACATAACGTTGCGGCCATCTTACTCTGCGACCAGATTTTGTCGTTATCGGAGTCTCTTCTTTTTGGTGCGTTAGCGTCGTTGACACTTCAGACTCGTGTTTCGTCGGTGTGATCGTCTTCGAGAGACTCGTACTTGTCGATTGAAAATCGCTATCGATGAAAGCTGGTTTCACTCGATCGATACTGATTACGTCTGTCTTCCCAGCTTTTTCTACCCTGACTGTCTTATCTGTCTTCGTAATCACTCTGAATGGACCTTCATAGTTCGGCTGCAGAGGTGGTTGTACGTTGTCTCTTCTGATGAATACGTGCGTGCTATTATGTAGTTGCTGAGGTACGAATACTCGTCGTTGTTGTAGTCTGGGAAGTGCTATTTTTAAATCGTTCATGTGTTTCTTCAGGCGTTGCACGTAGTTGGCAACATCAGTCGGAACACTTTTACCTGAAGCGAAAAATTCTCCGGGTAAACGTAAAGTAGTCCCATATACCAACTCGGCTGGACAACGTCCCATATCCTGTTTAATTATTGTTCTTGAACCTAACATGACTAAGGGAAGCTTATTAGCCCAATCGTTATTGACAATGACAGATGTAAGGGATGCTTTCAACTGTCTATGTAGGCGTTCAACCATTCCGTTTGCCATTGGATGGTAGGATGTCGTTCGTATACGTTTAATTCCGAGGAGTTCTGTAAGCTGCTGGAAGAGTCGACTTTCGAATTGAGCTCCTCTATCGGTCGTGATAATTGCCGGTATACCATAGTAAGAAATCCAATTTTCGATTAAGGCTTTTGCTACAGATTCGGCTGAGGTGTCTTTTATTGGTACCGCTACAGGCCATCGGGTAAATCTATCGATGCATGTAAAAATGTAGTTGTACCCGTTCGAAACTGGCAGTGGTCCCACGATATCGATGTGTATATGTCCGAATCGAGTGTCTGGCTGTGAAAACGAACCCATTGGCGAACTAGTATGACGATGTACCTTGGCTTTTTGACATTTCATGCATGTTTGTGTCCAATTAGGTACATCGCGATTCATTTTTGTCCATACGAAACGTTCACTAATTAATTTCATCGTGGCTTTTATTCCCGGGTGCGATAGGTTCTGGATACTTTCGAATACTTTCCGTCGCAATGGTTTAGGGTTGAATGGGCGAGGTCGGCCTGTCGACATGTCACATATTACTTTCGCGTTGCCGAACTGAATATCTTCGAATAATAATGACGTCGTGTCATCGAATCATAGCTTGTTTAAGTCGATGTCTGTCTCTTGTAACTTCGCGAGACCGTGATAAACAATTCCATTTGTAATAATCGCGTTTATCGTTGTTCTGGACAAAGCATCTGCCACTTCGTTATTATTACCTTCAATATATTGTATGCTAGATGTAAATTGGGAAATAGATTCTAATTGTCGAATTTCCCTCGGCGAATAGTTATCCTGCTTGACGTTTAATGCTTTCGTGAGGGGTTTGTGATCTGTATACACTGTGAAAATGGTACCTTCTATCATATGTCGGAAATGCTTGATTGCCAAGTAAATCGCTAATAGTTCTCTTCCGAACGTACTGTACCTCGTTTGTGTAGGATTTAATCTCTTCGAGAAAAATGAAATCGGTTCCCATGTACCGTTTACTAACTGCTGCAGTACTGCTCCCACTGCTATGTTCGATGCGTCCGTCATGACAGCTAGTGGCGCTTCGCTCTTTCGTCTAACTAATATCATCTTCTCATGAAGTGCTCGCTTAGCGTTCTCAAAAGCTTGTATAGCCTCTGTCGATAGATGGAATGTTCGGATGTTTCCTCGCAAAGCGTCCGTTAATGACTGTAGTATTGCTGCGCAGTTTGGAATAAATCGCCTATAATAGCTTATTAGTCCCAAGAATCGTCGTAACTTTTTTTGTGACTCGGGCAACGGACAATTACGAATAGCAGCAACTTCTGCTGGAACTGGCATAATACCTCGAGAATTTATCATATGACCTAGGAAATGCAATGATTTCTTTCCAAATTCACATTTCTCCACGTTAATAGTAACACCATGTTCTTGAAGTCTCGTGAATAAGTGTCGTAGATGTTGTAGATGTTCTTCCACAGTAGCGCTAGCTACTAATATATCATCGATATATGCGTATACCCCTGTCAAACCTCTAACAACCTGATCAATAAATCGCTGAAAAGTTTGAGCTGCATTAGTTAGTCCAAATGGCATTCGCAAAAACTCAAATAAACCAAATGGAGTGATTACAGCCGTTTTTGGTATATCTTCTGGGGCCACTGGAATGTGATAATACGCTCGAACAAGATCAATCTTCGAAAAAATCGTAGCACCTTCCATTTCAGTAGTGATGTCATGAATATGTGGCACTGGGTATCTATCTGCTATCGTTTGCTTGTTAAGGGCTCTATAATCTCCACATGGTCTGATTTCTCCATTCTTTTTGGGAACCATATGTAACGGAGATGCCCAGGGACTATTAGATGGCCTTATGATACCAAGTTTCATTAATTTTTCGAATTCTCGTTTCGCAATGTTTAACCTTTTTGGGTCCAACCTTCGCGCTCTTACTCTAGTCGGTGGACCTTTCGTGACGATATGGTGCTGTACTGTATGTTTAAGATCTCTGTTGTCGTACGACGCCCTCGTCAAATCGGCGAACTTATTTAGAAGTGACTTGCTCGTTCTTATCTTTCGACACTACTAAATTCATAGATACATGATCGGTGGTCACTCCTCTTATGACTACTGAACGTTCTCCATTCACTAGTTGGTTTCGTCGAGAATCTACTAATAGGTCAAAATTCTTTAAGAAATCGATAACAATTATGGGTACGGAAACATCAGCGATCACGAATTCCCAGCGAAGTGAAATATTACGGCCGAAATTCAAGGTTAGTTTTCGCTTGCCATATGTCTTTATGTCGGATCTATTAGCTGCTTTAAGAGTTAGCGCAGTATCGATATTTTGTTTTTCGTTGCTCAATGGAGGGACGACGGTTATCTCTGCTCCCGTGTCTAGTAAAATTGTGCGCCTGTTACTCTGTCCTGAACATAGAATAAACGATTGCTCCTGGGAGCTGCGTTGATCGTTGTAGTCGTTACTGAGAATCGTTGGGATCATTTAAATTTGCATGGAGACCTGCATTTTCGAGCTCTGTAGCCAAATGTTTGATGCTACCAGCATATATCAGGATCTGGTAGTCCCTTAGAAAATGATCGGTTTCTATCTCTTGATCTGCTGCGCGACCCACTTCTTTTCCTGTCGTTGTGATTTACAGTCGTTAGTTTGTGGCATAGCGCATTAATTTCCTTTTTGCAAGGCCTCGATTCTTTCGTCAACTGTGGAGTTGAGTATTTGTGGAGTCGCGTGTTTCATTCTTTCGTAAATCTTATCAGCTATTTTAGCGATGTTGTCTATGTCTACATCGCTATCTCCAACAGCGAGGATCTGCTGTACGTTCGGTGGGAGTTGTCGCAACCATAAGTGGTAAAATATATTTTTATCCACATTTCTGTCTCCAATTACGTTGCTCATATACGATTTTAACTGCGAAGGCGTTCTATCTCTCATTTGAATTTTACTGAGCAACTGCTCGACAGCTTGCCGGTCGCTTAACGAGAGAGCTTTAATTACTGCCTGTTTCAATACGTCGTACGGATTTATCGCATCCGGCTTGGTCAGGACCTCTCGTACCTTGTCTGCTACTTCGTCTGGAAGTAGTGAGCTTGCATAGCCAAACTTATGTCGCTGTAAAATAATACGATTGGCTACGAAGTAATTTTCGAGCCTAATAAACCAGAGTTGAGGATCAGTAACATTAAAAGAGGGAATAGTAACATTAATAACTCCCACGGATGGTGACTGTGAAAGATCGATTGTTTCGTTATTTAAAGACATTACTAATAATAAAAATAAAAATAAATTAAATAGTATGCGAATATAACGTAATTGTCACTTACAGAAATGAATCGATGAAAACAATGATAATAATAAATGGTACAATTTATAACATGGAACAGACTTACTGAATTGCACCAATATATCAATTGTTCGTGAATAATCGTTATTTATTATGAATATTATCGTTAAGTTCAAAAATGGGATAATGTACGTACGATTAAAATTGTGATATAATAAATCCACAATTATGATTATAATCCAGATAATAATTCGAATAGAAACAGAGTACGCTGAATTTTCGAAATGAAATTATTTCGTCGAAAATTGTTTTATGTTCGCTCGGCGAGGCATCCAATTCTGTAGTGCCGCGATTCGTTAATCGTTTACTTCGATAACCGTTTTAATTCTAATCTTAACGGTGCGTAAAATCAGAAGACAAAGGATAGCAGCGACTACAGTTTATTGTCAAATAACTCAGGTCAGAAAGCTAACAACACCTGAGCGAATATGATCGAGCGAGTGAGCGGTAAGCGAGAGAGCGAGTGGACAGGCGAATAAGCGAAGGAAACGAACGAGGAGCAAACGAGCGAGCGAGTAGCAAGTAATTACACAGGCAATTTATAGTCACATTTAATGAGGGCACAACAAAGCAAAACAAAGGCTGATAATAGTATTTGCGTGCGTACATATATGTGGAGGAGTATGAGTCATCGAATGATATTTAAGTAGTCAACATTTCGGATAGAGCGTCATGTGCTCTAATGGTATAGCAGTGCAAAGAATATGCAAATTGTTACTATCCAAATAACGATGTCTGTTAAGTAAGTTAATAAAAAGGGCTTAACCAAAATTGGCTAGAATCGAAATTGATTGTTGGATGGTTGCTATATCAGCATATGATCTACCTGGCTTTTCAGCAACATATAGCGTAAGGTAGCTTGAATTCTGTACAACCTAAAATCTTTATGGGAGATTAGGAGATTCTGAAAGTCCTATGTTCGATTACTGATAGTTCCATGGATTAACCTCGTTAGATCGTTTCATGCAAGGACGGATAATTATTCTCCCATGTTAAATGATTCAGTTAAACACAAATCTTAGTTTTTCTATTTATCTTTACAATAAAACACACTTTTTCCTCTATTTTTCATGTATTACGTAATCTGACTTCTCAAAGATATTGATTATTGCCTAATCAATACATGTTTAAATGGTGGAACATGTCAAGATTTAGATGGTCCTGGTTTCCAGTGTTTATGCCCACCTGGTTTCAAAGGATCTAATTGTCAATTAAGTTCAGCATGTAGTAATTCACAATGTGTTCATGTAGTCAATTGTAGACAATTGATACAACCAGTACATGGAATTGATTATGAATGTATGTGTCAACCTGGTAGGACAGGACAATTTTGTGATCAAAGTAAGTGAAAAAAGAAAGTAAGAAAGATGTGTATTGTTTAATTGGAAACTGGGTCAGTAATTTTTATATTTATGATACATTGGAATCGGTTTGCAATCATGTTTCACAACATCTCAGTCTGCTTATTTGTATGATGTTGATAATGATGTGATGAACCAAATACCGTCAGTCCAATCTCATAAAATGATCACTTCAGCATCTTTTCCATATAGTTGCATTCTCTGCTAGACCACCATAGAAAACGTGGAAGCACTGGACTGTCGTTTCGTCCTATTGCGGTACTCCTCAGCAGTGCACATCTATGATCCCTCCTCGCGAGATTCGAACCCAGAACCTATCAGTCTCACGCGCGAGCGCTTAACCTTTACAACCACTGAGCCGGCCGGCATTCAATGGTGTTAATGCCTAACTTCAATCAAACCACGAAATTGAACAACCATCCACCACTGTCTTCAACTGACTTATGATTTCAACTATATAAAATTACTAAAATCCCCACACAAAACCCTTCCTGTTGAATTGATAAGATTAAATGATACAAGTTGAATAGTATGAATGTGTCATCCAAAGTTGTTAATATCTTTTAGTGATCAGTTGGGGTTTCTTTTTGGAAGTGGATTTGACTAAAGTTATCCATAATGAATAATTATTGCTCTTCAATTATTTAACAATAAGCAGTTACTTACTTACTTACTCCTGTTACTCACAATGGAGCATAAGCCGCCGACCAGCATTCTCCAACCCACTTTGTCTTGCTCCTTCTTTTCTAGTTCTATCCAATCACTGTTCATTCTTCTCATGTCTGTCTCCATTTCTCGACGTAATGTGTTCTTTAGTCTTCCTCTTCTCCTTTTGCCTTCAGGATCCCATACGTGAGGGCATGTCTTGTAAGGCAGTTTGGTGATTTCCTCAATGTGTGTCTTATCCACTTCTAACGCTTCCTCCCGATTTCCTGCTCCACTGAAATCTGATAAGTTCTCTCTCACAGCAGGTTGTTGATGATAGTATCAGACCAGCGGATTAGAAGTATCTTGCGTAGAAAACTGTTAATAAACACCTGTATCTTCTGGATGATGGCTTTCGTTGTTCTCCACCTCTCCGCCCAATACAGTACAACTGTCTTGACATTTGTATTAAAAATTCTGATCGTAATGATGGTTAACTGTTGTTTTCAGTTCCAGATGTTCTTCAGTTGTAATGGTTTGAATGGTTTGAATAACTTTTTCAAACCACTGCTGGTTAGCGAGTTGGTTTTCTACGGGATGGGGTCGCTAACCCCATGCCCAACCCTCCTCCTTTATTCGGGCTTGGGATCAGCAGTAGTCCCCGGGAGGAGCGAAAGTCGGAGTTAACAATAAACAGTTACCTAATGATATTCATTCATTTACTTTCTTTATAAATTGCGTGACTTAATTCAATGTTTTATTGATATTTCATTTGTTTATTACATAATTATTAACACTAATGATTGTTTTGTTTTTCTTTTTCTTCTTCTAAATAATTAAGATATTGGTGATTGTGTGGACAAATGTAAAAATGGAGGAACATGTCACGTAAGAAGCTTATTTTATTCAATTAATAATAAAAAATGTAAATGTGACGTTAGAACGGAAATGGGACGCAATTGTCATGAAAATGCATAAACACATGGACAGATATTTGCTGAAGGGATGGTCAAGATTGAGACAATTGATTTATGGTTTGCGAATTAACTATTTACTGTATGGTTGTCAAATTTTGGTGAGAGATTCTGTACTGTTGTGTTACCACTTATCTTATAGTTTACTACAGTAGTACTACTACTGCTACGACTACTACTAGTAGTTAGTTAGTTAGTCATAATCAATATTTTTGACAATGTTGATGCATTGAAAATTCACTTCTGTTGAGATCTCAGTAGCAAACTATGACTTGATGAACCACATAAACGATCTCAAAGAATTGGTATTTTTTTGGGCATTTTTCTGTTGAGGATTCCTAAAACAGGACGAAAAGGCCGTCAATTGCTTCCAGGCTTTCCCTGGTGGGCTAGCTTCGATTGACTCACGCTTTCAACTATGATTATTTTGTTTGTTAATATTGAGACTCTTTGGATGGGAATCGAACGATTTCTACATTTCCATGTTGGTTATATTTTGAAAAATTTGTAGCAGTAGAATACAGATGTTCCACCTATTCATTCTAGTTTGAGACTCAGCAGTCTGATTTACCTGTATTTCAATGTGCATTATTATTTAAGTTAAGAATAGAACTTAGTTTTAATAGCTTCAAACGTTAGTTGAGCTTCTTTCTCTCCAGAGACATGTAGGTACAGAATTCGATCCCAGGCAAGATTGTGAGTGAACACTTCTGTGAAGTTTTATATAGTTAAGATCATGAGTCAATTGAAGCTAGACCACAGTGGAAAACTCGGAAGTGCTGGACGGCCGTTTCGTCCTATTGTGGAACTCCTCAGCAGTGTTTATGCACGATCCCGTCACGCGAGATTTCAACCCATATACTCACTCGTGACTGGCTCCATGAGGTAATTCCTGGAGTTCTAATGAGAAGTTGTGTCCAGTGGAGCTAATCTATGTCAGGAAGAGACAGGTATCTACCTCAGTACAATGAAAGTTGGTCGCGCGATTTCATGGATTGGTTGAGGTTAGACATTAACACCACTGGATGCCAGCCGACTAAGCGGTCTACCGGTTAAGTGCTCTGGCACGAGACTGGTAGTTCCTGGGTTCGAATCCTGAGAGGCAGGACCGTGGATGATCACTGCTGAGTAGTCCCACAATATGACGAAACATCTGTCCAGTTCTTCCAGGTTTTCCACGGTTGTCTAGTTTCAATTGACTCACGATCTTAACTATTATAAAATTAGTAAAATCTCCACAAAACCCCATGTGACTTCTCTCAAGTACTATACTAGGACAATACATCTATCCAATGATCTCTGATTCACATGGTATCTCAAGTGAATTCAGTCTTTGATGAATACTACCCAAAAATATTCAATGTGGTTATTGGTTTGATTGTTGTTCTTATGTTTCTGCATAATTTTCTTCACATCAATTCTACCCGAAGTTTGTGCTGATGATGGCGTTCAGAAGAATGATGAGAGCTCCACGACCAAACCATCCAGCTCAGAGAACAAACCTACATCAAAATCACCCACCTGAGCTTTAAATCTTCTCCACCATCTCATAATTTCATCTATTTATATTTCTTTTACGATCTTCTAGGTGATTTCTATTGTACTTGTCCAATTGGATTTGAAGGTAGATATTGTGAAATTAATCAAGAATGTTCTAGTAAACCATGTCATAATAAAGGAATTTGTCATGAAATTACTGGTGGTTATTTATGTGAATGCCCAAATGTATTTATAGGACAAAATTGTGAATTAAGTGAGATAACATGCTGAATTTATTATCGATCTCTCATCATAAAGTCTACAATGAATAAATCTGTTGTGACATGAGTAGTGTGATGGTCGATATTCGATATTATCTTCAAACTTCGTATATTATTCGTCTTGATAACCGTCACTCGATAACGTCCCAACGGTGTATAAATCAGAAGGCGGATACGAAGGGTTGACTACGTTTATTATTGGACCAAACTCAGATATCCAGAATTACAGGCACGTTAAGCAACCATGAAAAAGTAGTGTCGTAATGCAGGCAACTGAGCGTAAGAGCCGAATGAGCGAGAGATCAATCGATCGAGTCAGCGAGTAAGAGGGTACAGTACAGTAAACAGGATGTACATATATATATACAAATGGAAATGCATAAATCATCGAATCAATAGTATGGCTAGCAGAATGAATACATGCGTAAACAATGCACAAGCGTACATAATGAAGGCACAATAGTATAGATAGGTTGTTGATCTTCTTGTTCGAATGACTGTCCGTTAAGTAAGTTAACAAAAGGGCTTAGCTAAACTAGATATAAATAAACTCAATTGTATGTGAGCTCCTATAGTAGTGTCATTCACCGACTCATTAGAAGTGACTCCAAGTTCTTTATTACAACTACAGTTATAAGACTGTTGTAAGAAACAATTCAATCATTGATCGTAAAGTATTGTTCATCAGCAATGATATTGAGAAGCTGTGAAGTTTTGAAAAGATCATACAATCTTTTATTCAAGTGAAATGTTTTGATGGAATTTTATGTCGTCAGAAACTCATCGGTTATGTCTATGGAAAGTTTTCATGAGTATCACTCAATACAACTGAAGACCTTATGTCTTGTCCAGATGGATGAATAATGATTCATATTTACCAGTGGATCTTGTAACATCATTTCATAGGCGTGTATTTTATTTTCTTTAAACACATAAATATTGGCACAAAGAGGCACCGGATATATATGCGACACACAAATCTCCTTTGAATTGTGTGAGGGATTTGATACTACCCAGGTGCCAAACCGCAACAGGTGGTTTTCTTAGGGGGCCAAACACTCAGAGCCTTTGACCTAAAGGTCTGATCCACAAGACAGTGAAGCATTGTAAGGAGATGCAGTCTCATGGTAACCAGTGACCAACGATTGATTCATACGCCATTTGTTCCTTCAGGATACTGGAGCCAGCCCATGTGCACCATTGGTTTAGAATCGGGGTTTTCCAACCCCCCCACGCCACGAGAGGACAGTGAGTAGACTTCCCTGGCAGAAGCTATATATATGTGGCCATGTGAGAGCATTTGGAGAGGGAAAGTATGCTCTCCTTACTCTCGGTCGTACGAGGGCATTTGGGGGCAGGTGTGTACTAAGTGAAAGCTAATCAATTTATTGAACTGTATAATTTGTACAAACTTATTCATTTTGAAGATAAGAAACATCAGACACTGAGGCTAAAGTATTAACTACTTAGAACGATCACTTCGTTTTACATTTGTCAATTAGACTATACTTATAGTCTTTTTTATATATTAACACCACTAAATTAACTACTTCTATGAATTCAGTGTTGATCTTGTTGTGCTAACGAGGTATGGCAACTTG